GTTGTGGTTACAAAACGAACGTCAAACGTCAAGCCTCAGACGCATTATGCCTAAGTGTTTTTTCATGGGGTATACGGAGAGAGTAAGGCGTTTCGAGCATACCTGTGGACTAACTATTGCTGCTTTTTTAATTGGACACGAAATTAATACAATGTGATGTAAAACCAATACGGAAAGGTATAATAAATATCACTGGATAATACTAAAAATACTGAATAATACTAAAATAAATACTAAAAAATACTAAATGACATAATATTTATATTGAAAATTCTATCAATATCTAGCTAAAGAGAAATTAAATAAGATGAAACTAGACTAAGTCAAGGTAAGGGTAAGTGCAAGGGCAAGGGGTAAGACGAGTCAACCGTAGCATTTATTGCAAGACTCGATAGCTTTGGTATTTTAATTGGCATATCCAAGTTCATATTCAATATAATTGGTGCTCGTAATGCTGCTCTAGCTGTGCTTCAGCTTCCTCTTCTCGTTTGCTGTTGCTGTTGCTGTTGCAGGCGCTCTAAAGACGTCAAAATATTTTTAGCTGGCGCCGGATATGCGAAAGCCTTTTGAATGATTTCTTTTTTCATTCCGTTCATTTTTTATATTTATTTGTGTTTTTTTTTTCTTCTGTGCTGTAGCCTTTATTGGCCTTCTCGTGGACAAGAACATGACGGGAGCATTGCATAGGGAGGGGCGCTAGAGGCGGGCCCAGGGGGGTCTACGATTGGTTTGTGTACCTCGTATTTTTAGCTAATCACGCGGATAAAGCCTCACACAAACTTTCCGGCGTATTTATGAGCCAAAATATTAAGAGCATATAAATAACATTTAAGAATTTTAAAAAGAGAAAGACTAGACTAGCAGATGCCCTATAAATGGTAAACAAATCAACACAGAAATGAGATCGGATTTCGAAATGAGCCGAAACTGAAATATATTCAACTGAATTCTCGGACGTATACACTCTGAATGCCTTAATAGCTACAGGGTGTTAGAGTCGTAAAAATAATTTTACGTTTGGGAAAAGTTTTTTTTTGAAATATATTCTTAAATTTAATGTGCGGCAAAGTAAACAAGCGATACTTATGTACTAACCCAATTGGTTTATAATCCAAGCAACACTCGTAAAACTTGGGTGTGTGTGCGCGCGTGTGTGTGAATATGTGTATGGATTAAGTGAATGAGTATTATTAGAATGCTCATTAGGAATGCTTGGGCTTAGCTGGGATTTGCGCAGGAATGTATTTAAAATAAATAGATCAAGAAACGTATTTCAAAATGAAACGGAAATTTCAGATACGAAAGTTTGGAAAACTATCAAGAGAGAGACTGTGGTAAGTGAGGCGGGGAGGGGAGAGCATTTTCGTTAAGCTTCTCTTTAAATGAAGATTTCTGGCTGCAAATATCCATTACGAGCTGCTGCTGCTCATCCTTTGTGGAACGTGAGTGGATAACCCAATGACAGCTGGCAGCATTGCTGGTCAGCTCCAATAAGGTGTGCTGGGTTGTGTGGGGCGGGGTTAGATTTGCTGCAACTGAAGCTTGCGGCTGGTCGATGACAACTCCATTTGGGGCCGGCGGATGGCCATAAGTCACCCTTCAGTGCTAGCTGGAGCTGGACAGGGAGCCAGAAATGAAAGTTGGGCAGAGCTAAGCGTTGACAGCTCGCACAAACAGGAAGAGGAGGCATGCGACATGCGGCATGCGGCATGCGGCATGTGGCATGTAGCTAAGCTGGGAACGTGCGTTGCGTTAAGTGAAAATACAAGAAAATTGAGGCACGCGACGAATTACAGCTGAAAATGTGAATGGGAACTTTGGAGCTGGGAATTAGGCGCCTCACTGAGTGGCCATTGGGTATGTGACCTGATGACATATGAGTGTGTGTGAGTGTGTGTGTGTGTATTTGTCAAATGTGAGCAACTGTACGCTGACAAGATTTATGTGGCAGCGGCAGCTGCAGCTGGCGACAGCACGGAGGAGCAGGGGGAGCAGGGGGAGCAGGAGGAGGAGGAGGAGGAGGCCAGGCTAGGCTAACAGTAAGGACGAGCTATGACAATGGCAAATAAAAGATTTTTATTATCACATTATGCGGCAGCAGATTTCGCCCTTAGCCCAGACTAGTTTACGTTTTCTCTCCCTCTGCCACGCCCTCTGCTGCTGCGCCTTACTTTGGATTGGGGCCAAGTTGTTAAGTTGCCTTGGCTGGCCCAGAAAAACGGCCAAACGGCGGGGCAGGTTAGCCGAATTCAATTTGCCAAATGAAATTTCTAGATACAGCTCCAAAAGCGCCTAAAGGCCGAGTATTAAAGGCAGCTTGGGCTGCGCAGGCACCGACTATATAGATACCCAACAAGAGGTGAACCTTTTGACAGAGGAGAGAGGAGAGGAGTTTTGTATTGCCGCAGAAAGCTGTTACTGCTGAGGGATAGCCGATCAAGTCAAATACAATTATGCCTATGGAGCACATAGAGTACGATCATTTTGCCCACTAGGCATAGAGCGAGTGTTATGCTCTGCCACAGCGAGGTGTACAGCAATGAGAGCATGCTCATAGGGTATACCTACATATATGTATATACGAGTATTAACAACGACGTCAGCATTGCAGACATCGTCGTGCGTTCTTCGGGCAACGTCTGGCGTCTATTTTGGTCGGCCGACTCGACGGGAATTACTAATTTGGATGTTATGCTCCCGGATTTGTTGCTGCATTACATGCTAATTATACAAAAATAGAACACGTGAGCCCGTCGTCCGGCCTGCTTCGCAATGGGGCGGCGTTCTCGCCCTTCTCCGAGGGCGTGTCAACTGTTGCATGTCGTCGCCTGCTTAGAATTGGGGAGCCGAAAAAGTTTTGCGCGCCTCGTGTCGCATCAGTCAACCACGCAGCTTCAAGATTGATGCGACGCCACCTGAAGACAACGCACGATGACCAGTGGAGCAGGGGGGCAGGGGGCAGTGGGTGTCTCAACGCACAGACAGGAAGAGAGCAACAGCTGCCGGAACGAAACTATTTGGGTCAAACTTGGCAGCAGGGAGATGCACAACTGAAATGTCCAACTGAGCGCGGTGTGAATCGCCATGGAGCATAGCTAATGCCCCAGACGCAGCAAGAGCGAAATAGAGATAGACTGAGAGAGAGAGACAGAGAGAGAGCGTATCAGTGCTGTTTTGGCTGTCAGAGAAATTAATAAAATTTTGCGAGCAATTGCAAAAAATTAGCCATGGCCGATGATTGTTGATGTTGCAATCATTAATAATGTTGCCCCGAGGGGGGCGGGGACTAGCTGCACAGGGGCAGCGACGGGCTGTGGGGCGTAGCCGACGTGATTAATGCTCGCTGTGTGTGCGTGGCATATCTATAAGGCAAGCTAATCACGAGCAATGCGCGCGTCTGTTATTGTTGTGGCCGGAGAGACTCTAATTGCAAGCCGAGCCGTACACAAATTATTTATGTATATTTGGCTGATTGATAAAGATTGATTATCGATTGACATTGATCGCAGTCGCCGCCGCCGTGGCAGCAGAAACAATTCTTGCTCGGATCGGAGTCAAGAAGTTGAGGTCACAACTAAAGTGTGTGAAAAGCATAATTGTCATCGAGTAAAATGTTTATTCTATGCTGATTGATAATGATTGATTATGGATTGAGATTGAAATGTCAATTGTTAGCCATGTGGCTGGGGTAGAGATGCATTGCAATTAGCTAAATGTTGAAAACCCCAAATGATTGACAGTGATTGATCAGGGAACCTATAGTTTCTTGGTTCTTGACTCGCAGGTAAACTTTAATGAAGACCTACAGCGCCTTGAGTACATGATTGGTTAACAACTTCAGCAGACTTCAATTCAATTCCATGATTGAAAGTGATTGATTGGCATTGCAGCCAGTAGAACAATCTATAAACTAAAGTAAATGCCAAATCCTTGATTGACTTCTGCACAAATCTAGTACGAATTCTGGTACAATTTCTAGCAAAACCAATCTTAATTATAGAGGCTTATTTCATCTCTTTTGATCAAACCAAAATGTGTTAATTAATTATGTACCAAAGCATCTGAGCCAAAATGGCAATGAATATTTTCGATTGCTGTCAAAATTGGAATTTATGAAAACTAAATGAGTTTTAACAATTTCATATTAGGAGCATGCTTTAACTGTGCCAGCCCCTATATAGTCAGTAAAGACATCTATATATATATATTTTAGTCAATTATGATTTCAGCTTGAATTTGCACTTGCATTTGTTGCACTTAAGAAGCTTTATAAATATATTTTTTTTTGCTGTCTGAGTTGGGTTAACTGTATAAGCCACCCGCCAGTCCGCCAGTCCGCCGGTCCAGCCGTCCATCTGTCAGCTGACAATCAAAAATGTCAGACGGGCAACCAGCTACAGTGGATTGCATTGCAACTGAAACTAAAACTAAAACTAAAATTAAGACTAAGACTTAGCAGAGGCTGAGAGGCGACTGAGTGGGGCCCGAGTGAGGCACGAGTGGGGTCTAAGTGCTGCTGAGAGGGGAGCCGTCGCTGCTGCTGTGTAATCCGTCATTTGTTCGCATTCCATTCAAGGCTGCCTGGCCAGATCCGCCTCAGTGGGTCTCAGTCAGTCAAGCCACTGTGTCGCTCTGTCTCGCTCTAAACACGATCTCTCTAGCCATCGCTCTCTCTCTCTCTCTCGCACTCTGCTGCACCTGGACAGCTGGCTGGCTGCTTGGCTGGTTGGCTTAGCGGCCATTTGGCAAATTGCAACTTTTCGATAAATTCGAATCATTTGTCATTGACACAAATAGCTTTCAAATTGCATACACAGCTAGGCACGAGACAGTCAGGGTGTGCGAGTGTGTGTACATGTGTCGTGGAGCAAGTTGTGCAGCAACTGCTGCAATCGACGTTCTCAACGGAAATTCCCAAATACAGCCAAACAAACAAACAAACACAAAGCAGAGCTCAGACACACACAGCCAGCCAGCGAGCCCAGAGATCAGAGCCCAACTCTCTCGCTGGCTGCTCTAACTGATAATACTATGATACTATAACAACGTATTTCTATTTACTATTATTTAATCATTTAATCATTTAATTTTCTTTATAGTTGCGATTTCTGGCCATTTATCGTTCCATGGAATAGAGCATTTACACTCGGCTTTAATAATGTTTTTTCTTTTCGATCAGTTTGTTGTTATCGCCGCTGGTGGGGCATGCCCCACGTTGCCATCGTGTTGTTGGCGATTTCAAGCTGCGTCCCAGCGGCGAACAATCGCTTAACAACACTGCTGTTGCCGTCTCGCTCACACGCGCTCACAATGACCCAGTTTCCAAGCGGAATGTAAACAAATTTGACCTGAAAAAGCGTTAGCTTGTTGTTGTTGTTGTTGTTGTTGTTGCTGTTGCTGTTATTTTGTAAACAAAACGCAAAACTGACTGTGACTGAGACGCCAGCAGAGACAGCAGCGACTCACTGAAGTGCTGTGTGTGTGTGTGTGAGTCGCGTTTTCATTTGGCTTTTAATGCCAGCAACAACAACAACAACGACAAATTTTTGCACTAACAAAGTCATTTTTGCCCAATGTGAAATAGTTGTGGTCTGGTCTTAGCGAGAGAGACAGAGACAGAGAGAGAGAGAGAGAGAGAGAGAGAGAGAGAGAGAGAG